AGTAGCAAAGTGTGAGCTTCCTGCAAAGCCCCATATGCCATTTTTTAGGAACCAGGTTTCAGAGACGGTAGTTTAGTTTCTACATGTATTTGTCTCTCAATATCTTTGAGTGGGCATTGTGTTGTGGTATAGACTGATCTAAGCCAGCTGTCCACCTTCTCTTGCCCAGTCCTCTGATCCATACAATCTGTTAACTTCCTAGTGATGAAGGATCATTACCATGCTTTTTCCTTAGTATTTTTTGAAAGACATCTTCTTAGAAACTGGAACTAATATAGAACATAGGATTATGACTTACTAGGTCTTTCAGCTAATTATATTTCAGATGTTCATAAACTGACCGGTTTTTATCCAATGAGTATATTTTAAGCTTTTTCTTATGTGAAATGTGAGGTAATGAGTAGGTCTATTTTACTTATTGTGCTGAACTTTTGAAGTGATTTTTTAAAATGGCTTCCTTTTCGCTAACATTTGACATAAAATCAGCCATATGTTAAGAATTCCAGACAGCATTAACTAGAATTACAGACAAACCAAAGTTCTTTTTATATTACCTCTGAAAAGAGATTGTAAACAGAAAATTAAAGATAATTTTAAAAAAGATTTGGCAATTCCTGTTGTTGGTTAGGCCACAATATTATTGTTCCATCTCACATTAGGTAAGAGGCTTACTACAGATTACACTGAAAATTGAATGTGGTTTGAATGTTGTGTTCATAGTTGTTAGGATCAATGGGATGGAAGTTATTGTTAGTATTACTATTCATTGAGAACTGATACAGAAATCAAGCAGGGTTTATACCATGGGACTGCAAATCAAAAATTACTGTCTCTCCATGTAGCCAAGAATACAGAGATAACAGACATCAAATTGGATCTGAGACATTCTTATTCAGTCTTTTACAGTTATGTCCATGTAATGTGTGCATTTGTGCAGTGTGAGCTGGTACAGTTTAGTTGATAAAAAATACTGGGTTATTGTGTATTTTGAAGAACAACAATTGTTTTTAGTTCTATATTGACTCTGAATTTGTTTTAGAAGCAGGTTTTATTTTACTTCAAGTATTTTAAGAATTTCCTAATTACTTAGGATTAAAAAGCAACTGACACTGGTTTTCTAAGTCAGATTTTACAGCTTTAAAACCAAGCTGTCTGAATTATTGATCTGCAGACCACAGAGAGTGGGTGTACAATGTAGATAACAGCTAAATGCCAACACAAGGGAAGAAATGTGAAAATAACAGTAAAAACAGACATTTTCAGGTCTCTAGTTACAACATAGTTATGTACAGCAGTGGAAGGAGAGCTTTTAATTGCCAAGAGAATGCACAATATAGTTTGAAAAAGAAAAATGAAGTTTTATATTTTGAGCATCCTCAGTAAAGGGAAAAGTAGTAAATCTATGTGAGATAAACTCTGCTGAAAACAAGGTCTAAGAGATTTAGAAATGACAGTGTTTGAAAATCAACATATAGAAGTCCAAAATGGTGGATCAAATTGTATTTTTGCAAGAACTGAACACCAGAAAAATCAGTCAGGATCAAAATAATTGTAAATAAAAAGACTGTGAAGTAGCTTTCTTTTAAAGCGAATTTGACTTTCATTACTTTTAGAATTAAAGTAATCGATGACTCCATTCACTGAGTTTCATGATTCTTAAGGCATATGAAAAAAATCTGGAGGGAGAGAAATTATAGTAATGAGTATTTAAACTGTGGGGACAAAAATTGACTATAGTTATGTTCTACAAAAATATCTGCATATAGTGTGCAAAAAGCTATATATAACATTCCTTTTCCAAATTTTAATTAATTCAGATGGGAACAAAAAAATTCTATAATTGATAAGCAAGGTTTTGAATCACATGAAAAGTTTTTGTCATCTTCTTTTGTCAGCTTTGTACATTTTCCTGAGTCAGATTATATTTTCTGGGGCAATGCTGAGCCTTTAACATGCTTAAAATTATTACATCTGACTGAAAAATAAATTGATAGGCTGAATTCACAAATAAAGGACCACATTGCTTATTAATTTTTGAAAAACATTTTTAGATGGACTTGTCATTGCTGGGTGCTGAGGGGTTTTTTTGAAAGTTCTGTGGCTGTACCATCAAATCAAAGATGAGTTGAATGTTACAACTGTTAATTCAAGCCCTCTCTTCCATTATTTAAATCTTAAAATTTTCAAGTCTATATTGTAGAACATTAAGAGATACACTTGGTAGTACCAAAATCATTAATGTTTAATAATAATTAATTACAATATATCTGAAACTTTACCCTGTGAGATCTGAGCCCCTGCATTTCAAACCTCAGTCTTCCAATGAAAGCTATTGACTTCCCTGGAACTCTGTAGAGTCTCATTTTACTGCAGAATCAGGATCTTGCTGTCTCAGCAGTTTCCTTTTAGTTTATAGTGAATATGGTAAGTCAGTACGATAATTTTAAATCAACATCACTGAATCTTACTTGAGGGAATTATAATAATGTTGTTCACTAGTAGGTAAGCAAGTTGTACTTAATGGAAACATGCATCAGGGACTTTTTTTCAAATTATAATATGGAGCATTTTATGGTCAGTGGCACAGACTATATATTATAAGAATTTTACCCTAGAGAGCAAGAATAACACTTATTTTTCTCTGTCATGCTTCTTCCTTAATTTTTCTCTTTCTTTTATGGAGCACAGGCCTTGGGCATGTTATCTTTGTTTGCATGCATTGATGTTTTGTTCATAGAATATGGATATTTACACCAGTATTGTATTTATTATACACCTATAATTTATTTATTATATTTATTGTACATCTATGCTTTATTAAATACTTTAACTAAAAGGTATTTAACATGATACAGGGTTGTCTGAAAAGGCCTTAAACTATCAAAATATTTTTCTTTTTCCAAATAAAAGAAACTTACTTAAGATATTAATTCTGTGCTGTTTGAAAATTTTAAAATCAACTTTATTAAATTGTAACTAAACTACAAAAATACTTAAAATCCTGTTCTGAAGCAATTTAAGGGAATTTGATTATTTATAATACTGTTGCTCTGGTTACTTGATAGAATCATGTTATTAAACTACTCTTCTGTCATGTAAAGATGACAGAAAAACAATGTTCTTTGTTGAAATAACTCGGTGGATAGGGTAAAGTAACCTTGCTAGGCAGTCAATAAATAGCAAGTCAGGTGACATTTAAAAAGATTCTAAAAGACATAGGTCCATACAGTAGCTTCCTTTTCTGGCTAAAGGTAGTGTGTATTTTTTTTTTAATTGTTGAAGCATAATAAACTATCATATAATAGTGTGATGGTTCTGATGAAGTTTTCAGATGGGTTTAATACTATTTTGACTTTTTTCTTTCTGTGTTTTAACAATACAGAAACAAACATGGCTTCCTTAGTCCTCACTTCCATTATAATCCCAGTATTTTTATATTCTCGTGCTCTTCAAGAAGCTTTACCCTTTTACAGATCTTTCCAGAAGCTAAATTCAGAAAGTCCATCTTTTTAATTATATAAATAATATTTATACTGTGTTAATTGATTTTTTTTTTTTTTTTTTTGGATGGTACTGTGAAACCGTTGGTGACTTTCTGATGTTGCTGGAGTAAACTAGAAAACTTCATCATACTCCATTTTTCATAATTTAGTAGCCAAAGAAGAGTCAGTTTTTCATGAAATTCATAACTGGAAGAGATTAGTACTAAGGAATACAAATATTAGAGAAGTTATGCACTAAAGCTCACATCTAAAAGATTGTAAATGATGCTGAAAAAACCTCCTATTATTCACTTTGGAATTCTATAGCCTAATGGAATTCTGGAGCTGGGCCATAAAAATTAATTGTGTTTATCAAGAAACCCAATTTGAAAATATAGAGAGTTAGAAATTGTAAGTAGTAGATGATTTAGTGATATGGTCTATATATTAAAATAGTTAGTACCTGGATGTCAGAAAAAGTGTGACTTGCCAGGAGGGACCTAGTCATCCGGTGAATTCTTAACAGCACTAGTTGGCAAGAAACTGAAATTTTCATTTTTCTTCTAACACTATCATATCTTGTCATCTGAGGTGCATCATTTACTCATGGACTGTCACTCTTTAGTATTTAAGATGATGTCTGTGAGCTGTTCAACTGTAAGGAATAAAAACATTCATAATTTCTTGCTAATGGCAAGGTACTGTTCATGTTATTCTGACTTCCTGGCTTCTTTGTATTACCTTATGGAAGTCACATTTACAAAATCTGCAAACGCAAAGTAACATTTCACATTTCCATAATTGTCCAGGTGTTTGCCTACTATTATATTGTCAAGTTTAGAGAAACTGGTATGGTTGTATGGAAAGCTAAAATACATAAACCAGCCAGACAAGGAATAAAACAATAAATCAGATATTGCAAGTATTTAATCGTTGTGCTCCCATCAGGACTCTTAAAGTCACTGGTAACAATGATATGTAGATAAGGTATTCATGTATGTACATATTTAACAAATCAAGACCTAGCTGGAGACAGAGGATTGACTGGAACATCACTTCTGCATCTGTTAAATTTAAAGTAGGATTCATAGCTACATCTCAGGAAAGTTCTGCTAATAACTTCCTGCTGAGGTGCCAACAGCAGTGTGCAGTAACTTTAAGGGTAACAGCTCATATTGTATGCCTAGTTGAATATACATTTTGCCCTTAAAAAGTTAAACACTTGCTTATAGTAAATGTGCAGTCGTATTTCAGAATCGGAAATGACGGTAGTAGCTCTACTAGTCCTCTGTGACTACTGAGTATAAATATTGATCCAGAAGTGACTGGCATTTTTGTGGTTTAATTTCTCCTAGCTACTTGAGTTTTATTGTTTTGAATGAATGTGGCCTACAATATCAAATTCTTCAGTCTCCAGAAGCAATTATAATGAAGTTTAAGGTTCTCACCATCCCTGTTACATGTATTGATTCATCTATTTTTCCCTGACACTACTTCATTTCAATATTTGTTTTCCAGATAAAGGCTTATATTCATATAATTCAGGTAAATTTTCAGCATGCCAGAAATGCTTATTGCTTCCATATACATGCAAAATTTAATTCGATATTTTATTGGTGTGCTTTTGCTACCTATTGTGCAGATGCGAAATTGCTTAAATGTTTCTTGGCTTTTCTTGTCTGCTTTTCAGTCATAGGTCTTTTGTGGGCTTTCTTTCTCTATTCTTAGCATCTCAGTGTTGATATTGGAGCAGTATTGTAACACTATACTTGCTTTGCCTGCCTTTATTTTAGGTAGAGCTTTGGTAGGTAAACTGTAGAGTGCTTTATTAACCATACTAGGAAAATGCTATTTTGCTTAAGCTATATTAAAAGCAACACTGTTGTATTACAGCTGTTTGAGAACTAGTGTAAGTATTTTTAGAATACAGACATGGGGTAAGTGAAGTACTGGCAAAATCAGTATTTACACTGGTACATATTTTTACAGTTTCATATTGATTTAAATCCCCAGTTACAAATCCAGTTGCTATATCCGAGAAGTTTGCCTTAATTAAATACAAATAAATTCATAATGTACAGTTTTTACAAGCTTAAATTTTGTAGTGCATTTCATGTGGGACCTTTTGCAGTTCCTGCAGTTTTAATTATGGGAACCTCTTTGAGAATTGGTTCATCTAATTATCTTTTAGTTATGTTTAAAAAATGAAATATACATTATTAAGAAAATAGATCCAATACCATGGTGGAGAGAAACAAAAGTCCCACAGGGCTGTTTCTTGAGAGTAGTGCTAATAAAACCCAGTTTCCATTATGTCTACCTTTAGTCTCCCGTGTTTCTTCTATTCCATTCTTTCCTGAGATAATCCCACATTATTCTCATGTTTTATGATATCTTCACATGGGAAGAGACCATGTTTGCTGTGGCAACTGTGGACTTGTGCACGTGTGGATTAGCCACAAATTTTAGCTCGATAATGTTTCTTTTTCATTAAGGGGTTCTGATTTGTATCTCTCTCTTCTATCCAGCAACCATTTTCAAAGATCTGTAGGAATTTAATTAAATTTGGTATTTATACCCCTCTGTCAACGTAGATGAAATTGGTCAAAAACTTTAAAATAACACTATTATGTGCAGGAGGATAAAGTGACAGATTGACATGGAGACAGTGGGACTGCATGAGAAATTAGCTCACACTAAGAACCCTCAGGCACAGACTGGATGAATATGAGAGAGCAAATTCTTAAGACAGGTGTTGTGAGACTGATTTTAGGGTTGCTTTGATATCAGCTTTGAACACAGAACAATTACAGGCAACACTAAGTTACTTTAAGTGGTTGTGAAGGACTTCTGTGAGCTTCAGAGAAGGAGCTTGTAGTCATGCTTCACTAGCCTTTGTTCCCCCAAGGAGTCTGCAAAACCTTGTAAAAGCTTCCTGCATTGTAAGGGGCAGGATCCCCAGCTTGGGAGCTAAGTCTGCTTTCTTTTTCTGTTTTTTTTGTCCCACAAGAAAAACAGAGAATTCCTGAGCCATAAATCTGGCACTTCCTTCTGTATTTAAGCTGACTCACCTTAATTTTATATCTCATTCTATCCCCTGACCTAGTCCATTCTGATAACTATATTGGTTGGTCGTATAGGCTTTAGTAGAGTTTTGAACCTCATGTGTTGGTCTTCTCTTGAGGCCTATATCAGAAATATTGATGGGCAATATATGAAGCACAGAAGGTATTATATCTTGTATTGTTTCCCCTGTGTATTAATAGTAGAGTGGAGCACAGCTCTGTGCCAACTTCAGTTGTCATGTAGAAGTCAGAAGATCTTTCAGAACTCTCCACAGATTTAGGTTGCCTTGCAAAAAAATATTTATGATTGCATATTGTTTCATTCATTTAGAAGAGTTCCAGTTATTTAGAATGTTGTTATGGAGAGAAATGTGATTCTGTTGAAGTAGAATAGAATAGAATAGAATAGAATAGAATAGAATAGAATAGAACAGTTCAGTTGGAAGGGACCTAGAACGATCATCTAGTCCAACTGCCTGACCACTTCAGGGCTGACCAAAAGTCATATTATTAAGTGCATTGTCCAAATGCCTTTTAAACACTGACAGGCGTGGGACATCCAGGAAGATTCTCTCAAAATTTCTTCAATGATTTCCATATTATTTTTATTCAGAAGTTGTTAAAGCTTTCCATGGCCACCAACGCTGCAACCCATGAAAAGTTAACAAAAAAATAAGCATTTGATTCATAAAATGGAATAAAACACCTCACTTTTTTCTTTACATTATTGCTAGCCATGAAGATAAAAAATTAAAGAAAACTAAGAATGGAAGAAACTACTGTGTTTTAAATTATTTTTCTGCCTAATAGAAAGTAAAAATGTAAATAGGAAAAATAGTAAAATAGTAAAAATTGAAATAGAAAGTACTTTTTAAATGGAAAGTGAAAATAATGGGTCTAATGTTTTTTAGGTGTGTGTGGGGAGGTTTCTCCAAGCCTGCAAAGAAAACTTCCGTGCAAGTGCTGTAAACTTCCAGTTCTAGTGTGTACATGCTCTTGCAGAGTAGTTGTGCTGGGTGGGATTGTAGCTCGTGCAGCAGTGGTAGGGAAGGAGTAGGAAGGTGTGGCAGGGAAGGAGGATGCTGAGGGTTATCAAGTTCTGATGGGGAGGTTCTCTACTCTCCCCAAGGGAAGCTGTCCCTGGAAAACAGTTTTATTGATAGTTTAAGGCTATTAAACCAAAACCTGCTAAAGTGAATGAGAATATATCTTTTGATTTCACTGGGGTTGGGGTTATGCTGAATTAAGGCATGTTTTATGTGGCTTACACTAGCTAATCATACAGCATGGGGTCTATTTTGCCTTCAGTCTGTGACTGTAATAACCATTAATCCTGGTGGAAACATTCAAAGTCAATATTTACCATCTGTTACCACCCAGTTATCAGACAAAATGGCAATAATATCCCTAAGAATGTTTCATTAATAAGCTATATTCCAGTGCAATGGCAGTGTGACTTAATTAATTCCATTCCTCAGGTTTAATATGTTTCAAAGAAAAAGTTAATTATATGCAAACCATTGGCACCAATGCATTTATCTGATGCACCCAGTGTCCCGGGTGTTACATGCTTAAACTTTTTACTGAATTTTGAAGTTATGTCAGAATGGATTTAATCTTCTTGCTCTTGAAATAAATACCGTATTTTATAACATATTTGTCAAACACTTTAAGATATTCATTTAATACTAAAAAACAGTTTCATTAACAATATTCCTTTGGAATAATTTGTGACAGGCTTCATTGTCACATTTCCCAGATAAACTATGAATTGTTCTTTCTCTGTTTTATGGTCAGTGGTTCAAATTACTTAGATAATGAAGTGGTATTTTGAAAATACGTGGCTAAGGTGGGACTGAAGCCTATATCTTCAAATTTATTTTGCCAATAGGTTAAAAAGAAAATTACCATTTAAAATTAATGTATAGAAAATGAAATTACTCTTGCAAAAATTATAAGAAATATTAAACTAAGCTGCCAGCAATTATACTGGCATTTCAAATCCTCAGTTCAAGAAAGGATTTTGACCTGTGCACTTTCTAGTCTCTTCCATTTCTGAAGTTAATGGAATAAATTTTAAATAAATATAATCTGATTCCTTTGCAGAAGTTATATATTCCAGGCAGTACTTCTTGATACTACATATTTAATTGACATGCTTTCCTTCCTCCGTCCTTCCTGAAAACATTGATTTCCAAAGATAAAACCAAGTAATTAATTCTGGTTTAAATTTCTTCTGACTTCTTAACTAGCATTTAAATTTACATTTATAAGTAAATATGAAATATTATTTAAACATTATTATTTTTCAGTTGTTTTAAGTCTGTTAGTTAGAGTTGGCTTAAGGTAGCCTCTGCCTGAGGAGATAGAATGGATGATCTGACCTGAACGAGCTTCATATCTTGTCTTACAGAAAACATTTGCATATTTAAGGGATGTCAGCTATTATAAGAGACTCTCCTCTTTGCAGTAGCAAAGGCAGTTGGAGAAAGCCCTGAAATCTGATTCTTCCCTTGACTACTCTTTCTCTACTCCCATCCTTAAGGCAGGTCTCAATCCTGGCCTGTTCACTTTCCCCATGTCCCGGCTCTTCTCTGCAGCTTGGATGGGAACGAATCATAGAATCACAGAATAGTTTGCATTGGAAGGCACCTTTAAAGGTCATCTAGTCTGACCTCCCTGCAATGAGCAGGGACATCTTCAACTAGATCAGGTTGCTCAGAGCCCCATCCAACCTGACCTTGACTGTTTCCAGAGATGGGACATCCACAACTTCCCTGGGCAACCTATTCCAGTGTCTCACCACCCTCATTGTAAAACATTTCTTCCTTGTCTCTAGACTAAATCTACCCTCTTTAAGTTTAAAACCATTACCCCTTCTTCTGTTGCAATGGGCTCTGCTAAAAAGTCTCTCCCCATCTTTCTTATAAGCCCCCTTTAAGTACTGAAAGGCTGCAATAAGGTGTCCCCAAAGCCTTCTCTTCTCCAGGCTGAACAACCCCAACTCTCTCAGCCTTTCTTCATAGGAGAGGTGTTCCATCCCTCTGATCATTTTTGTGACCCTCCTCTGGACCCGCTCCAACAGGTCTGTGTCTTTCTTATGCTGAGGGCTCCAGAGCTGGATGCAGTACTCCAGGTGGGGAGTGAAGAGAGAGGTGTGTATATAAAAAGAGAAGAGGGACTCTAGACCCTGGAAGGTGATTTGGAGTTGAGGTATTAGGAGATTCTGGAAAAGGTAGATGCAGTTTGAGGGAACAGAGAGAGAAAGATCCCTGTCTTTTATACCTGTGGTCCATTGAAGCTTCTTAGTCTCTCTTTTCTGCCAGATGTATCCTGTGACTACTACAACATATAATTTTATAATTTTAGCTATGCAACTGGGAAGTCTAGAGCCCACTGTGACAACAACTGGCTATTTTCATCCTCAAAGATGCAAATCTTTTCTCTAGAATACAGAATATAATATTCTGTATATTCCTTCACTCCTGCCCTCATCTTCTAGGTTTTCTCGAGTGCTAATTGTGATCCCTTGCTTGCTGTTTCTTGTTTTAGAGAAAGGCTTTACTTCTTGTTATTCCTTGAATTCAAAGACACCTTTCCCCCTCCCCATTGTAGCATGGCTATTTCTAAACTTTTATAATAAATGGAACTAATAATTCTACCATGTAAGAATTGGAGGGCATAGGAAACCAAAGCATGGCTTTCCTTGTACTAATTTTAATTTCCTATTTGTGAGGAAACCCCCAACCTTTACTGCAATTAAATAACAATAATTAACATTGCTCTACTGGAATTGCATAATGTAATGGCAGGCTAGATTGTGTTTTCTAAGGATTAACACATATCACACTTATACCACTTTCTAGTTGAATAATTTTTAACAGAGCAATTTTTGTCCCAAAAGAAATAGTCTGCAGTCTAGTTTATAAATTCATGCACCCACATCTTGATTGCTGCAATCAGTTCTGACTTCTCATAAAAGGCACAGAAGAACTAGAAAACATACAAACAAATAGAGCAGGAACAATCAGAAGTACGGAACGGTTTGCATATGCAAAGGAACTAAACAATGATATTTCAGCTCAAAAGAAGAGATGACTGCAGGAGAATACAGAATGCTGATTCATGTTTCTCAGAATGCAAAAGCTTGGAGGGCATTGTCTGAAATAATGTAATAGAAATAAAACAGAGGGAAGTCTATTTCACACAATGCAAAATTAAACTGCAGAACTTATTGACATAGCATGTTATAGAGGCCAAGAGAATACTGTGACTCAAAAAGGAATTATATGAATTTGTGGAGAATGGGTTGATTAATGACTTACAGTAAACATGGCTTAGGAGAAGTCTCAGTTGCCAGGACCGCTGCCTGCTGAAAGCTAGAAGGGTGCAACACAGAAAACTTTTTCCATACAGATCTTGTAAGCACACTCTTTCCGCTAAAAAAGGACCTTCCGCTATCCCCTGGTGGGTAGACAGATGTTAGACAGTCTGACAAATGACAGCAGTTCTTATGGTTCAAATAATTTCTAAAGTTTCTTTAAACTGAAAACTTTTTATTTTTGTCAAAAATCCTCTTAGCACTTGTTCTCCCAGTTTTCTATTGGGAAAGGAGGGTAGGGATCCTTCTGTGCCAGTCACCCAGATAGAGCATTAATCCTGCTTTGTCCTGGGCTTCTTTAGGTTTACTCCCAGTTTTTACCGGTATTTTTGTGTGTGTGTTTTTCAGAATAAATCATCCTGTGCTAGGAATAAAAAAATCTTGCACATGTTTGAAGGTTTAGTGACAATTAGATTAAAGCTTCTACTTTCTAGTTACCTGTTTTAGATGTCCAGAGAATTAGAACAGACATACCACCTTGCTGAAGAACAGGGATTTTCACATTTAAAACAAGTAAATGATTAATTATAATTCACATGCCAGTGCTTAATCCTGATGTCAGCAATCAAATGCTGTTTAAAAGATGCCACAGAAGACAGAAGTAAATTAAGCTAAACACAAACTGACATATATATTTGTCCTACGTGACCTACATTTTGGCTCTAATTGTGGATATGGAATCTGCTTTTGCCAACTAAACTCTAGCTATTTTGACAGGTGTACTCTTGTAGAACATTTAATAGTTTGCTTCCTCTAAAATATCACAGAGAGATTTTGTTTTTCAGGACACACTATATGTGTGAAGCTGCCTGTTCTCCTGATAATGCTTGCTAATACCTAAAAAAATATTGCATCCATTTAATATTATTGCTATTATTAATTTTTCTGGTATTCAAAGACTTTGGGTAGGGATGGTGCCTTGTGTATGAAAACTTGGAAGATGAACAGTGTGATGCCAGTTTCTATATGGAATGAATACATATAGATACGAAGTATATGACAATATTTCATAAAAGCAATGTTGTTGAGCTGTATTTCAGCATTAATTGTATATTATATTAAACATTTAGCTGCAAATAGTTGGTACACTAATAGATTTGCAATAGTATAATATTAATAATTTCCCTTATATGCTTATATTAATGCTTCATTGTCTAGTATGAAATCCTTACATTTATGTATTATTGGCTGAGGATAGTTTTAACTTACAGGAAGATAAATGATACATTTCTGATTTTTTTTTTTTTTTTTGGCAGGGTCCAAAAGAATCAGCGACAGTGAAGTCTCTGATTATGACTGTGATGATGGAATTGGTGTTGTTTCAGGTATTACTGTCTAAATTTACTCTTCTACGTTCAGTAGAAATCTTTCATATTTATAATTTGTTATTATGAATTTTATAATGTTTTTCTGATGAAAAATAAGTGGAACCTATTTTTTTTTTTTTTTTTGGCAGGGTCCAAAAGAATCAGCGACAGTGAAGTCTCTGATTATGACTGTGATGATGGAATTGGTGTTGTTTCAGGTATTACTGTCTAAATTTACTCTTCTACGTTCAGTAGAAATCTTTCATATTTATAATTTGTTATTATGAATTTTATAATGTTTTTCTGATGAAAAATAAGTGGAACCTAACTGTGTATATTTCCAACAGACACAAAATAAGTATTATGGGTAATGCATATTTAACCACAAAAATTACCAACAGAGGGAAAAAAATCAATGTGTGAATTTCCTTGTTGTTTTTATAAAATGATAAAAATAGCACAAAAGTGTTTTTTTATTAAATGTGAAGAAGTGTTTATTTGATTTTTTTTGACAGACATTTGGGTTTGATATATCCTTTAAAACTTCATGGTGAAATAATAACACTGCCGAAGGTCTGAAACCAGAACATTTAAGGCAGGATGGGAGACATCTTAACAGATAATCTGTTTTACTAAATACTGGAATTGGGCATTTAATGAGTATTTGAGATAAAAGTTGTCATGTGAAAGAGTATTTCTCCTCCTCTTCTAAGAGAAAGGATAATACTCTAATCATAGCCGAAAACAATAAAATCAGAGAATCATATGCTTTTGCTGACAACAACAGAGAATATATTGAGGATGCAGCCATGCCACCTTTAAACCAGTACTGATGGCTACTGGTACCAGCACACAGCTGGCTGCACAGCTCAGTGCGTACTTTGTTACCCTAGTGCTCTACTGAGATATTTAACCCACTCAGAGTAGTCTGTGTTAGACAGTTTCTGGTTCTCTTGGGTCAGGTCTAGCTAAAGTGTAGATATACAGTGATTTGTGTACCTTACTCAGCAAAGGTGGAGCAGTATATGCTGCCTGGTCTATGCAGCAGCTGTAAAGGCAGTGATCAGCTGGTCAGTCAAAATGTCTTCCTGCCATGCAGCCACCCGTCAGCGTATGTGCAGCTTTTACACCAGGTATAGTACATGCTGCTGGCAGGCTAAGGAAGGGTATATAGGAAACAGGAGTCAGAGGAATACAGCTTGAGCTAGGGATAGAAGAAAAAAAGGAGGTAAAATAGGCAATCCTGGATATTGCAAGATGGGGTGCAGCCAAGTATTGATAAATCCAAACATTTGGTGAGCTACCTAATTACTTGAGTTTGCACAGTCCTGTCTTAAAAACTGTTACCAGTCTGAGCTCGGAAGCATTTCTGTGTTGCCTACATAGTCATCCCTGTATTTCCAGATATTTCATGGTTATCTCTTAGACTCTGCTTAATTTTTGACCCTGCTATGTTGCTATTCCCTTGCCATAGGTCTTGTGCTTTCTGGGAAAATGGGAAAACAGATTTTTTTTTTATTAAACAACATGTAAATTTTATCAAGAAGCCCTTTTTTTAACTAACATAATATTATACAGACTTTGCGGTACAAACAGAGCAAGTCATATTGTTGGCATGTTTATTGGCTGTGGTTCATTGTAGCTCTCCTACTAGAATATCTAGAAAGCAGGTATTTTTAAGCACAAGTTGTCCTTGTTCGTGTCGGAACAATCTAACCTTGCAGATATTCCACAGTAAAACTTATTATATCCCAAAGGAATATTTTTTATCCTTTCTACATAAACATTGAGGTTTTTGTTAACCTCTGCTCAAAGGTTTTGCTCTACTCTAAGGTTCCAGCAATTTTACCAGAGACTGAATGAATGCTGTGGATGCAAGACCACTAAATTTTCTATCTTCCTTAAATAATTTATTTTCAAACAGTAATAGGCTCAGTTTTCAGATTATTACCTTAATTAGAAAGATATTTAGGAAAACTTAGGGCATTTTTATATTCTCACTCCCCCGTTTGCTTTACTACAGTCAGAAGACAGGAAGGATATGTAGCCAGAGTGGTGTGAAGTATTGGAACCAGAGAGGCTGTGATCCTCAGAAGTCCCTTGTTCCTACTTACTGTACTTTCAGTCTTAGGTTAGTTAGCTTTCTGTATGTGCTTAGTAGTCACTAAGACTTTCAGATTGCCTGTCCTCCCAAAGGGAAGGACTTTCATATTCCTGTTGGTCAGTTAAATTAGAAATGTATCAACCTAACTTTTGAGTTCAATAACAAAGGGAGGAAAAAAGGGGGTTTGATGGATATATGTCTAGAGTGCCCAGTATGGCGCCATTTTGAAACTGAAATCTTTGTATTGTCCTGGAAAAAGGTATGGAGTTTTGCAGAAGTTTTACCAGGTGCTTGAACATCAGTGGGATTCTTGTGAAATACCTGGATTTACAATTTTATGATTTCATAAACTTCTCTTTTGACAACTTGTAAAACTATGGTCTTTACGGTTCAGTGAATGAATCTACTTCCCTCACCTGAGTTTTTGATGTACCTTTAGTTCCTTTAGGATCTTTTAGCTTTTAGATTTCTGCTGACAATTCTACACCTTAGTTGCATTTTAATTCAGACTGGCTGTGTGGGTGGGAAAGTTTGATGTTCTTTTGGTTTTGAAATATTTATTTATTGCCTTTCTTTTTTGTGCTGCTGTCACTGTGTTTGCAAGTCTTTTGATTTATCCTTGTCTTGTCTTATCATCCACATCCTTCTCTCGCTTAAGGTTCTTCTATTCATTTGCAGACTCATCACAATGTTGGTTTAAATATATGCCTTCTTTGCATGAAGCCATTTGTCTCTCCTTGTTTTCTTTCTTCTTACTTACCCCAGTTCTTTCATTTTGTATTTTCAGGTTTTATTTAACATGACACTTCACTTTGCTCTTTTTCCTTATGCCATATAAGTACTGTATCACATCAAGTATGTTTGCTTACATCTGTCAGATACTCTCAGTGATCCTTTCCATAAAATGAATGCTTATTCAAAGTACTGGACCTGTGAAATAAACTCCAGAAACCTTTAAGAAGAGTAAGAATTCTCTTTCGGTTCATCCTTAATTTACTTTTATTCCAAACAGTGGACTAGATGACCTTTAAAGTTCCCTTCCAACCCAAACCATTCTATGATTCTGTGATTCTGTGATTCTATGAAATCCATGGACCTTCCTTGATCTCATTATGTATTTGTTTATAGTTCATTGAAAGATATATGCTGTCTGGCTACCACGTTCCTGATCGAAGCTGAGATTTTCTCTTTTTCCACAACACCTTTTTATATAGCTTCTCTGGTATTGGTCCCATAAGGTCGACTGACTTCATCTTTGGATAAGCTGGTGATAGGTAGAAATCCAACAGTGGAAGATCTTTCTTAATGTACATCTGTAAGCAAGATTGTGTTACACCATATTTGCTGAAACAGAGAGAACTTTATAAGCTACAGTTCCTTGTGTCATCATCTATTTTTAATATATCTGCAGTTGCTGTTTGTCACTGCTGCGGTACTTTTGATTCACTAATTTAATTTCCTGATGATAAAATGCTTAAATTATGCCTATCTGCCATACTGTTCTTTTCTTTAATTTTTACAAAAAGTTCAAACATCTCTGGGAAAAATTATTCATAAAAGCTATCACTTCTGGTGTCTTGGATCTTACCCTCCTTAAACAAACTTATTAAACTTCAGCCTTATAAAAGAGAGTGTTGTTTCTGTCAACTGGAAAGGCTTTTAAGAAAATGATGCTAAACCAATTGAAAAACTTCAATGTCTTTTTTTTCCGGCTATGTGTGTATTCTGCACCAGCTACTGTCAGAAAGTGTTATAACATATGTATTTAAAGAAGTATGCAAAAGTGATTTTTGACAAGATTTAAAAATAGCTCTCTTCATATACAATATACACTCATTTCATCTTGGGATCAAAAGCACTAGAACAGAATCTCTATTATATCTCACCTCTGCTGGATTTAATCTTAGCACAGGATAGCAGAAGGAGAGGCACTAGCAGTTCTGGTTTTGTCTTTTAGATTGCTTGTACATAGCCTTCAAACCATTTAAAGCATTCATTTGGCTGTCCTGAACAATAAACTTTGGCCCTCATAAAGTTGTCTGTCATCAGCAATTCTATGTGGGAGCACATCAGCATCTTCACATGCCCCGTAGAATGCTCTTATGTGCTTATTGATAAAAGCAATACAGTATTTTTATATTGATTTTAGAAAAATTCTGGAGCACTTTACAAAACACCATTTAAATTATCATAATACTAAATACAATTCAATGATAAGCAAGGTGGTTTTTTTTTTTTCTTTCTATTGACCAAAGTTGAATAGGCATTACAGTTAACGAAGTTCAATGAATATGGACTATAATTTCTAAACAGTTTTCTCCCCAGGTACTTCCTCATAGTGTATGTTGAACCTGCTGTAACCTACTGAATACAAGTAACCTACCGAGTCTGACTTTATGAACAAAGAGACATGTAAAGTCAAGACCATTTAATCATAAGGAGTCTCACCTATCATTGTTGTAAGACTTAAGTATTAAGTGAGATGTTAATGCTTAAAATTCGGTTCTACACCAATATCTCATCTGCACGACATCATTTTATGAAACACTTGTAATCTGAGATATGTTTAAACAGACAAATCCTGGAAGAATTTAAGGCAGTGAATTCTGCATAAACTGCATTGCAAGTGTCTGTAGAGAAGAGCTTTTCCAAGTAAAAGAATGCAGTCTCCAGCCTTGAGAAGAAAAACATTTATAAGTTTTATAAGTGATGTTTTTCTCATTATGCAAAAGATAGCAAGACATTTCAGGAGCAAATAAGAATACAAATAAGATATTTATTCAGAGGATAGTTAGAGCCAAGTAGATTAGACAAAATAGTAACCACCAGTAAAGAAATTCTTATTGAACTTACAAAAATGATTTTGTTTTTGAAGAAGAATGAAAAGCAATTATTCATTTGTGCTTCATTTCTC